GGACTTTTGCTCAGCTCCTGAGCCTGGGTTCTCCTTTCCCTCCCTACTGATAAAGTTTAAAGCACTGAACAGCTTTCTAGATGCCAGCTGGGAATGGAGTAGTTTTCCAGAGGCTAGGGCTGACCAGGGGGATTTTTAGTTGCTGAGAGGTTGAGAAACCTTGAGAACAATTCCAGATTTCCCTTCCCTGCATCATCTTCTTTAGCCTGAACCCACCTTGGGTTTCATCTGCACTTGATGCCAACTCCAATCTGGGGGTAGACAGCACACAGAGGGGCTGTGAGGAAGGAGGTGAGGCATGGAGGCAGAGCAAGAAAGACAGTGGTGGATAACCTGTTTGGCAGGTGTGCCACAAGTTAAGCCCTGCCTTTTTGAGTGCCACCTTGATCCCTGTCCACCAGATACATACCAAAGAAGAGTTTACACCCTAGGGCCCAGGAAGGGAGGGGTGGGGGGAAAGAGGGTTTGAGTTTGTAGGTCAGAGAAGGGGAAGGATGCTGCTGCAAGGAGGTGTAAAGTGTCACTGCCAAGAGCCCTTCCCTGGCTCACAACCAGGCTTCCCTGCTTCACAACTGCCAGTTTTATAGCCCAAGCAAGGATCCAAAGCAGCTGCAGGACCAGAGAAGAGTTAACCTGGCTCTTGGTGGTGACACTGGACATGTCCTGTGGCAGCAGCTTCTTGCCCTGCTACAGGCTCGAACCCTGCTGCCTCCATTCCAGCACCTCCCTTTGCTGAGTGCCTGGAGCTTGCATGTCACACACAGCAGCTGCCCATGTCACGTGTGGCATGTGTGCCATGGGCTGGCTACTCCTGCAGTAAGGCATCTTGCTACAGCTCTAGAAGGCTGAGTTTCAGCTTGAACTTTGCTCTTGGCTTATGTCGAAGGCTGCCCACAGTCCACCCAGCTTTAAATGGGCACCAGCACATGTAGACTGGGTAGTCAAAAGCAGATGGAGGTGCAGCCGGCCACAGTACTCCCTGTGTGGCATTCACTATAGAAATGGTGTGTGTTTTAATCATGCTAGCCCATGGGCCCATAGGCATCCTTTCAATTTTTACAGAGGTCCTTTTTATCTAGAGCACTGGAGACACCACAGGAGAGCCTTACTTCAATGAGAGGCTCCCTTGACAGGTATACATGCTGAGCACGACTTTGTGGATCCTTTCACAATCTGAAATCCATTCACGTGCACTGAAAGCTGCCTCAAATCTTTCTGTAAACCTGTTCCCTCTGCACTAAGTACAGGGTTAAAGACACTGGAGAGTAGTAACAGCTTCCCTATCCAGTGGGGCATAAATCTGCTGTACTAGATCAGATTCCTAGGGTAATCTGGTATCCTCCTGGACTAGACACACTAGGTCAGATCTAGGACAGATGCGTCTAATTGTATGTGATGCTGTGCTTGCGACTGTGACCCCCTTTCTTGGCAGTCTTAGAAAGCCAGAGTTTAAAAGGTCTCTCTCCCCCTTCCCCCCCAAAAAGAATACCTACAGAAGCCAGCCTGTTTCACCAGCACCCAAAGAGAAAAGAACAGGAGCCTCCCCAGACTGGGTCATCTGTTTTGTCGCACATAGCATTGAAGAATTCCTCTGGTTACCTTGCCAAATGCTCCACTCCAGGGACTGAGGGTGGATTTAAATCTCTGAAATATTCAAACAGTCTTACATTAAGAGCAGGCAGGAATATCCCAAACAAATCGATTTCCTGTGCGTGGGAAAGTGGGACAGAAATTTCACACCTTCCCATCTTTTGCATTAGATGCCAGACGCAGGGAGCGAAGGCAAAGAGAGATATCTACTTGGGCTCTATCATAATTCTGCAGCAGGTCTCCTGCATTCTATTATATGCATTCAGAAAGCAACCATATCAGAGCAGTACTGGATAGGGACAGCAAAGAATACTGAATATTTACTGCTGAGACAAAATAAGCCTTTTCCCTTAGAGAGGATAAAATATGGGTGAACAATGAAGTTCTAGCAAAGCACACAATATTGCCCACGCTGACTTTTATTGTAATGGAATGCAGCTACTGTACAGTTCAACAGGCTCCTATGTTAAGTCATTGAATGTAATACAAGTCATGTTATTTACACCACAAATCTTGAACAAATTCATCCAAAGAGGCAAAGTTATTTGCTGTAAAGAGCAATTCAGCAGTAATGGGAGGAGAGTAATGGGAGGAGGAGATGGGAAAGAAGAACCCACTCAGTAGGAACTTTTCCAGCTCTGACTGCTATGCTTTAAAAGAGCCATGGGTAGGTTAGGAAAGCTCCCAGGTGTGAACAGTGGAGGAGAGACTGCTGCCAGTTGGGTACAATTTGATGGCGTTCTGCTTTCTAATGAGGTTGTTCTGATTGAAGGACAAGTGTTTTTCAGGATAATAAATTCTATGCATCGAGTCAGTGACCCTGGAGAACACAACCCAGTTTGCAAAAGCAGATTCTGTTCTGGTGATAACTTACTTTTATTCGCCACATTGAAAGGAGGGTAGGGAGGGTAAGAGAATTAATCACTAATAAGAATTAGCACTTATGGATATCATCTTCAGATTCTACCTTGAGCAATGTTCCAGATCCACATTGAGAATTTCAAGCCCAGCTGTTTCATTTCCTTTTACATATGGTGCTCATAGGTGGTACCCCTTCCTCTTCAATAGGTCATACTAGCCTATGCGCTATTTGTGCTACACTCACTAGCACCATGGCCGAAAGGGACTTGGGGGTCATGCTTGAACATGAGATGAACATGAGCCACCAATGCAATACTGCAGCTGGCAAAGTGAACAAAACTCTGGCTTGCATCTACCAATGCATCTTTAGCAAGACCCAGGATGTCATCCTCTCACTGTGCTCAGCCTTGGTGAGGTCGCAGCTGGAGTACTGCTTCCAATTCTGGGCTCCATAATTTAGGAAGGACATGGAGAAGCTTGAGAGAGTCCAGAGGAGAACCACATGCATGATCAGAGGGCAAGACCCTTATGAAGAGAGACTGAGAGCCATGGGACTCTTCAGCCTGAGTGCAGGCTCAGGGGGGACCTGGTGGCAGCCTATTAGTATATTAGGGGTGTGCATCAGGATTTGGGGGCACATCTGTTCATCAGAGTGCTCCATGGGATGACAAGGTCCAATGGTCACAAACTCCTCCAAAACTGTTTTAGGCTGGACATAAGGAAAGACTTCTTTACGGTCCGAACCCGCAAGACCTGGAATAGACTCCCTCCAGAGGTGGTGCAAGCACCTACGCTGGACTCTTTCAAGAAATGTTTGGACACTTATCTTGCTGGGATCCTTTGACCCTAGCTAACTTCCTGCCCCTGGTGCAGGGGGCTGGACCCAATGATCTTCTGAGGTCCCTTCCACCCCTAATCTTTATGAAATCTATGAACTGATGTTGCATTTAACCAGGGACCAGTCGTGCCTGTGTTTGTCCTGTAATGGAAAAGTCACAGGATTGGCATGTATACACATTGCCCTTCCAATCAGGGTTTAGTAAGCAGCTGAATGCACTGCCACTTTTCTGCTATTGATCTAAAAATGCAATCCCAGGACATACTTTGTGATGTCCTGGGACAAACTGTTAGTGGATCTTACCCCATGAACCTTTTCAGGGTCTGTCCTGTGACAAAAGAAATGGATGTCTGAATGACTGCAACTTATCCAGGGAGAAAACTGATTATCCTGGGACAAATATGATGTTTGTTTGTAGCCCTACTGTTCTGACCATTATTCAGTCACCTCATAAAACCAGGCCTTTAAGGTGGAAGAAACCCACAGAGAATATAACAACTCATTGGCCCTTTAGGACAGACAAGTGCAATTAACAGGTACTTGTTAGCAGAGGTATCAGGGTGTGTCACAAGAAACAGTCCCCTTGGGCACTTACACATGTGCGAGAAGGCTGCTGCAATGCACTGTAAATCTAGCACGTTGGAGCAGACTTGATTAATCGAGTCTGCCGGAGTGCAGAAATTAATGTGCTGTAGCAGCCTCCAGTGTCACATGTATCAGAATCTCCACACTGAAAAACGGTGGCAGGGCACTTTGAATAAAAGCTTGTTTGATG